GCGCTGCGGGCGCGCACGGCTTGCGCACCCTGGCAGGCTAATGGGGTCCGGAGAGCCAGGCCTGGCCTGCGGGGATCCCAGGACTCTGGCGGCTGGGGCCGCAGGGGAGGCTGTTGCCGGATCACGTCAGCGAAGTCAGGCTGGGAGCAGATGTGGCCGTGCAGGCACCGCCCTGACATGCCGATTCGGTGTAGTTTAACCTCAGCTGCCTCCGTATCAGGTGCCAGTGAAATCCACTCCCTGGTGCTCCGCAGCTCGGCTTGCACGTGCGTTCAACCTTAAGCAACGCCTCAAGTGTGTTGCAGGGCCAGGGCTCTGGGGCAGGCGCAGATCATTGCAAGATGCTCCGGGGAAAACAGAAGCTCTTCCCCCTCTTTGTGACTGGAGCAGGACTCTGGGTCCTCGTCATTGAACCTGGCATCACTGCCTTGCACCACCTTCCCCTCGGCCCTGCGTTGCCAGCTGCGACCCGGGGTGCCTGGGCCACCCCAACCCCTCTTCCTGGCTGCTCTGAGGTCCCGGGACACCTCTCCAGCTGCTCTCCCACGCTTCTCTGCCTGCCTCCCTCCCTGCTTTAAAATCTTCCTGCTCCTGGCAGGGAAACTGAGGTAGAGAAGTGGGGCAATGCCCTGCTATGGCACCTGGACTAGCTGCTCTTCCCTGCCTTGCACTGAGGGAGGGCAGGGTCAGATCCAGCAGCAGGGGCTGCCCCTGGGAAGGGATGGCGCTCAGGCCCTGCAACCACCCAGGACAACCCGCTTGGCAAAGGCCCGCTACGCCCTGGGGTGCGAGTTACCTTTGAGAGGCTTGCTATTTGTGTGCTTAATTGGTGGTTTTTCACATGCATATTTATATCCCTGTGGGACATGGAAATCGATCCCCGGAAAACCTGCCGGATGGCTGAACAGCAGGGAGCTGCAGCCCAGGACAGGCAGCAACCTTGCCCGGCACCAGCGAGACCTCCCGGCTTTCCCCTCGGACGCCTGCTGCTGCTCCCACGCGCCCCG